TTTCCAATAGTGACATTTTGAAAAATGGTAAAGTCTTAATTTTAACAGAATCGTAACAGAATTCCTTTCGATTGGCGTACTAAGAATTAAAATCCATCATCTCTGAATCAAAACAAGACTACTTCCATGCCGTGACCGACTTTGGTTTTTGAAATTGGACCCCCAATGTTGCCTTCAAGAACATGAAATGTTAGATTTAAACATATCTAGATAGATCTGGAATTAGGTGTAACAGCTTTTGTAAACAATGACACCTCTCGATGATTTTTTAGGAATTCAAGGCACGCCCACGCAAACCAATATTACCGTCGGGTAGGGGAAGTCTTACCCTACCTGATGGTGATGGTGATTTGCGTGAGCCAGCTTTGACTTTCAAGACATCATCGATAGAAGTCATTGTTTACACAAGCTGTTACGCCCTAATTCCAGCTCTATCTTGATATGGGAACTGAGGCTAATGAGCTGTATGTTGTTTGAAATGAGGGTGACGTGCTTGCCATAGATGGCCCACAGCGACTCACGAAGAGCTACTGATTCCGATCAATAGCGGTGTGGCTTCTTCCTCATTCTTTGGATGCACATGTGCTGCTGCTTGCAGGAAGCCTTTCGTTGTGTACTTGAGAACACCACCTCTCACCATGCGGTAATTGAATAAACACCGTTTGGTGGTGAGACCGGATGGAATTCAACTTTGAAATCTGTTGTTTTTCGTAGGCAATCGGTGATAATTTTAATTATCATAGCAACAATTGTAAATTCGTGCAATTTTCAATAGCAACATTTTGAAAAATGAAAAAGTCCTTTATTTAACAGATGCGTGGAAATATTTCTGATCCATTGGTGATAAAATTATTGAAATTGGTGCAGGGGCAGCTGAGTTATTAACGTTCAAAATCTTTCATATTATTGTTACATGTTCCATTTTCGGTTTTCACAAAGTGTACCCCCATATAGAAATCACAGACGTAGTCCAACGTCAAAAAAATAGTTCAAATTTACAGAAACTGAAAAAAACATGCATTTTTTAAATTTATTTTATATATATTAAGCTCAATCCGCTGAAAATCTATAAGTTCAACGAGTAAAATTAAATATTTTCTTAATACAATGTTTGATATTCTTTGTCTGTATCTTGGGGTCAATATGACCCCTGCAATGTTTCCAATCTTGATTATTCATCAAAACGATTTCTTCTCTGTCATTTTTGCATGCAAAAGTCCTCTTGATATGTCTGCCTCTTAGTTGAGACATATTTCGAATTTTATGTAATACCCGTTTTGAAGGATTATAAAAATTCCCCTCCTTTTTCCAGGTGAATTAATAAAGTAGTTTTTCTTCTTCTTCTTATTCTTCTTCCTGAGTTCTATGCCGCTACTAACTTTGCGCCTATACCTGTGGCAGACATGATGATGTTAATCATTTGGTCAGCGCTAAATCCAACTGAACTGAGTGAACAAAAATTGGTTTCGAGAAAAATGAATTTAGAGTTTGGTTAGTAGCATTGTTTCTTATGAAATAGGGCAATCCGTTTAGTTTCCTTCCTGTTTGTAACATTTACCAAATCTGACTAAAGTGAAAAGTAGCTGAGGAAATGCTTGATCAATTTTTAAAAAATTTGTTGCTTGGTTCCCTCTGACATAACGTCGACCATTTTAACTAGTAATGGCAGCGATCGGAAGTGGAGATCTATATTTTCATACAATGGACTAGGACTTGTACCACCTACAAATTTGTACAACTTGCGGATGCGAATTAAAATGTGTCCCGATTTTCAAACTACACACTTAGAAAAGTTAATGTAAATTTAGGTGCTCTGAGATTGACATATACGAGCGTCAATTTTGACATAAAATTGAGTCATAATAGACGCGAAGTTCAGCTCAATCAAACGTAATTTCGAACTTTTCAGTTTAAGAGCACTTAATTTTACGTGACATGTTTGTTTACGTCTCATCCTTTACGTCAAGCGTAAGTGTATATTTGATTCATTTGCTTACCAAAAATCCAAATGTCACTCAAATTTCAACAAATCTCGAACTTAGATTGAGGAAAACATAAAATGGTGAAATTTGAGTAATATTTTAATTTTTGGCAGCAAATGAATTGATTCGTTTCGTATCCCATACAGTTTAATATACCAAATTTAAAATTCTCCTGCAAATCCAGATCATAACCAAATTCGTGCAAAACCGGCACCGTTTTTGGGGACCTCAATACACATTCTACTACAGTTTATGCTTGACTTGATCCAGAAAAAAAAGCGTTGGTAATCAAATTAATAGTTGGTTGGAATACCTTGGTGTCAAGATCCAATTTTCAATGCAACGGTTCTGGTGGAACAGTATTTCAATCGTGACGGCAGTGTTAGAGGAAAGGAACGATTGCTTGCGATGTATATTGGTTTGAGTGCTACCTAAGCCGCTATTTTTGACCCATCATCTAAAATGTAATCGATTTCACCGTAAGCAAATCAAAAGCTACAATACTATGAGATTGAACTATAAAGGTTGGAAATTAGATCCAACCCCCTAATTGACAGTCTTTGCTTAAGACCAAGAAATTCTCTGCATTTGAACGACTGCCTCTGAATGCCATTATATATTAGAGGATGGGAAGCTTAATCAGGACTCATTTTAATAGGTATATGATTTGATGAAAATTATTAATTTTTCTTAGCAAAATATTTCATGATTTTCGAATAACTTGCTTCAATCAACAATGGTTGTGTCGTCTTATTGGCCTTGCATACATGAAGTCTCTAAAACATATGCAATTCATTTGATTAATTGTCCAAATTCAGTGATGTTGATCGGTCATGGAGTAGCAACCCCAGTTAGTTTAAGCTAATCTCAAGCTAAGATAAAACTATGTTGTTATATGCAAGGTTTCGATATCCAGTAATAATTTACGCTGAATCGGTTGCAAGTGTTCGCTGTTTAATTAGTAGACCTCATCAATTTAATCAATACAGATTATAATGGGATCGGTTATTAAAAACAAGCTGTTTCGCGTGATTATCTTTTCACCCCATCTCCAACAGTGCTTTTGGCTAATCGTTTGATCGTTCCGAAACGACCCGCTTACGCCCTCACGCTCATCGACCGAGAAGAAATTTGGAGAAAAAAACGATACTAAATTACGAGTGAACCGAGCGCACACAGTTCATCAAGCCATCCGTCGTCGTCGTCGTCGCCGTCGTCGTCGATGGCGGTGTAACCTGCTTCATCATCATCATCATCATCATTGTATCGGAGAACCGGGCAAATAAACCTCCAAATATGCAAATGAGCTCCGTTAATTTATGTTGATAGCTCACATTTCTGCTGGCCGCCGTTCGTTCCAGTCAACAACAACGTGTGGGAGGAGGAGAAGAGCACAACCGCCGCACGTGCAAATCAGGTGTATAGGTACTTTTGATGCTCATTCCTTCGGACGGTGCCTTAATTTATATACAGTATCGCACGCTTCTGAAAACCACTTTGGTGTTTCTGGCGCTGTATCAAAGGCCTGGTGCTCGGTGCTCATTTTCCGGGCATTTTTTCACAAAAGAAAAGAAGCAAACAACCGTCGGCGTTGGGTGGAGATGGGTGTCGGCAGAATGCCGATGGGGGCAGGGAAATATCCTCCCATTCAGAGGCAAATCTTGCGGTCGGGTAATCCGAGTGGCCGTCGTCCGCACAGCCTCAATTTGCCCAAGCACCTCTTGGGCTAATTCTAGTTTGTTTACCCTTCTCCTCCTCCACAGTCAGCACATAGAAGCTAAATCCTGGTTCTACCAAGGGACGACCTACGTGCGTTTGTTGTTTTGCCTGCCCGCTGTATCCCGAATAGAAAAGCCAAAGTAAATGAACTCTACTCTCTGACACAGTCTGGTTGGCAAACTGACAGGCGATGGGTTCGTATAGACATGTAATAGGTGTAGGAGGGAGAACAAAAAAGAAAAGCCACATTGTTAGCATACTTTTTACAGTCGGTTAGTGGTTGCACGATGGTGATGAAGTAGCGAGGGGGTAACCCAACACTAGCTACCAGATGCAATAGATGTACTGTTACTGGGTACTGTTCTGTGGGGCGAGATACAAATTGCAAGATTTGGTTTTGGGATTTTGTTTTTCCTATGATATTCAAATGACTGTCCCACTACAAACGAGGGCAACATTCCATACAAGTTAGGTAACGAAAGGGGTCAAGTAACGACTAGTGTGTTGCTGTTTGTCAGTCCAATTTTGTTGCAAACTATAATGAGTTCTTTTGAGTCATCGCAGTGCTCCTTCTGTCTTTTGGTCGGCGCGATGTGTTTCATGTGATGACTCTCAAGCGGTATTCGTGCGTGTGTATAAACATATGTGGGAGCGACACTTTGCAAAGGATTACCGCCAACGCATGGCAGCACGGATTCATCATCGGATTGCAATGTGAGAAAAGAATGCTTGAAATTCCGAGGTTGGCGGTCTAGAATTCAGATGCATCTTTTGACTCCGATTTTCTTTTTCTGCTGTCGTTTTGTTGTCTTGTTGAGAGGTCATATTACGCGGCGCCTGGCAGATGACGATGTGCACGAGCTCATTGCCTCAGAGGATAGTTTTCTTTTTGTTTTGTTCGGGGTAAAAGATCAGCGGAAATGAGCTCGATTTAAGTTTGAAAATAAAGAGCTTCTTTGCTCTGGTGCAAGGGAAAAAATCAAGAGTCACGCAGATTTGCATCTCAAACGACAACGAGTTCCCTTGGAAGCACATGATACTTCCTCTGGCGATGCTTCGCTTATCAGTGTCTGTAATTAGTAAACAGACAATAAAGCGCAGAAGAATATTCAATAGGAGAGTCGACAAGGGAAGTGGAATTAAAAATAAACATCCAGAAACGGAATCTTGTTGATGGGCTCATTCTACATAGCGATAAGATAATGACTTGTGTCGCTTTGGTGACACTAATTCTGGTCGCACTTACCGATAGCATAGATTTAGCTCTATATCTAAATCATTATTTTTATTTCCACCTTTACAGGTACAGCATATGCAGTGGAAGTCCATTTCGAGACGCCAGACAGTGGCTTCTTTCTCAAGCATTCTCCTCGGCAGAGCTCGGGCCCAACGAATTCCAACAAAGGACGCTCGAGTTCCGATTCAGTTTTATCGATAGATAGGTTTACGGTAGTTCAAACTAGCCAGCCAGTATCGATACGTGCCAGCTATGGTCCGTTCTCCACCAAACAAACCGTCCCAGCGAGGTATATCGTACCAGATGTACTGGAATCCTCATCGGATTCCTCGCAAAATACGACTGCGGCATTGATGGATCTTCAACAGTCAAATTTACATCTGGACATATCGGCCCACCTGGTCAAAAATAGTATACCACGCGACTCGCCTGTTCTAAGAGTGCTATTCCATGCCGGAGCCGATCCTGGTGGACATCTGCAACGGCAAAAGATTTGCGTTCTACTGCATGCGTCAATTGGTAACAAGACACCCCTCAAGGGACGGTGCATGCCCGAAGGAGAGGATGGAGTATGTGTCGCGGAAGTCGTAATCCCTTCAAACTGGTGGCCACCGTTGCCTCCACCAGAAAAAGATGGCCGGCCATCCACCATTCAGAAGACACCTCAACAGCTGGTTCAGGTATCTTACAGCGTATTTGAACCACCATCAAGAAGTCCGGAACTTTGCGAACCTAAGGTACAAATTCAACCGCTGACTCCTTTTGCCAAAGTACCGCTGGTGCAGTCTCAGATGCCCTACAAGGAACTGCGAGCAGACGAAACCCTAACCATGCTGGTTCCGCAGCAACCTCTGTATCCTTTGTCCAAGATTCACGTGCCGGTGTTCTTGCACCCAGAACCTGGACAGAACATAGCTGTTTTCATCGTTAGGTAAGCCTAGATAAGTGCGCTAACACTGTCGGTTTAATACTTAAGTGCCATTCATTTCCAGGGCACGAGTAAAAGCTGGAATGCGTATTCTGGGAGCCAGTGCTTCTTCCGAAGAATGGAACGTCTCGGTGGAAAAGGAAAACACCAAGCACACCGTTGCAAGGGTCACAGCCTTCCGCAAAGATCAGGACCCGGACAGCCCGGTTAGCTCGTTCGACGATATGAATTCCAACAAGTAAGGTTAAATCGTTTTCTTCCCAAAATTTTAATAATGAAATGTATATCTTTTTCCGCAGGGTGATGGAGGTCTTCTCCTGGCTATTGGAAGTGGCAAATGATACCAAAGATCACCACGATGGTGGACGAATAGTATGGTCGGTGAGCTACGTGCACGATGGGCCGAAGGTTAAGGAACTGTCCGCTGAAGCTTCCAGTGCTCCGCACGAAGAAGGCCGGAAGAAGATTGTTGCCAAGCTGGAGATTCAAAAGGACGACATTCAGGCAGTGTTGCCAATCGCTAAGGTAATGTGAAGTTGCTTTATTACTGGTGCATGTACAATCCAACAGCCACAGTGGGATTTGTTGCAATCGTAAGATGCTTGAATCTGGGAATTGGAAGGTCATAGTACGAATTCCAATGCACAGTGGTCCAGGAATGCAATCTAGTGGATCAAAATTAACAACTCCAAAGTGAGTTATTTGGTCCGTAATCTTCGGCAATATGTGATGAAAATCACAATTATAAAGTTAAAACAATATCTTTGGAATAAAAAGCGCCTTCTTTTAGTTGTAAAATAAGTGTACTAAACGTGTACTAAACTGCTATTCAAAGTCAAAATCTCAGCGGCCTTATTTTTCAAGATATTGGTATCTAAATAGTAAATAGTTTTTTACACTTAACTTTGTATTTCATTAGAAAAGTAGTAGTTTTTATATTTTTTTCAAACGTAATTTAACAAAACTTGAAACTTTTAGCGAGATTTTATCCTGTTTCATTTTAACGATATTGAACAAAAACCTTTAAACTTGACATAACTTTCATAAATCATATCTTCGTAATCGCACAAAATCGCACCCTTGCATTTTCAGGGCTTATAAAATTCTATATTGGATATAGGGGAAATGGATGTTATATCGGCCTAAATGCCCTTAATTTGGACCCATGCATAAATTCAATAATCGACTAAATTTTCAATAGTGACCAAAAATATCCATTAGTACCGTCCCAATGACGAGTTCATTTAGATAACATTGATAAATAGCAGATTTTTAGCGATGGGCCCAATCTTAGATCCATAGGCCAACATTAGAGCCATTTTCCGCTCAGAACTCTTTGAAGCTTTTGATACGTGGAAAATTCTGTGAAATTCAGGTTCTTTTTAATAATTTTTGAGTAAACAAGACAACAGCGTCTTCAGCAAAGTTGGAAAAGACCTATCATAAAAAAACAAAGTTTCGTTCAGAATTCACTCACAAGGCGGCGCCAGTGTGCGATTAATTTTGAATTGTTTGCCATAATTTAATATTTTAACTAGGTAGAAGGTTCCCGTCTTCGGAAAAATTGCTCAGATGGACAAGTCCTATTTTATAATAAAGTGTTTAGATCAGAATTCACTCACCAGGCAGCGCTAGTGTGACATTCATGTTTCATTGAATGCCGCAACTAACCATATGGACTAGATTGAAGGTTCCCGTCTTAGGCATAGTTGTTCAGATGAACAAGACCTATTTTATGGTAATGACTGTAGTTCAAAATTCACTCACCAGGCGGTGCTAGTATGACATTAATTTTTCATGTTTGCGCTAACATAACATCTTAAGATTCCCGTCGTCGTCAAAGTTGTTCAGATGGACAAGACCTACCCTAATAAAAAATTACCACAAACGAACGATAACCCAAATCATTGAACAATTCCACAAATGGTTTGGATGATACCCCGAACACGTCGTTAAGCAAATTAACCATACCATTTTTATTAGGGTATTCTAAGGTAAAGAGTTTAGTTCAAAATTCACTCACTTATTTCGAATTGTTTGCCATAATTTAACATCTTGACTAGATACAAGGTTCCCGTCTTGGGCAAAATTGTTCAGATGAACGAGACCTATTTTATGGTAAAAATTTCAGCTCATAATTCACTCACCAGGTGGCGCTATCGTGACAATAATTTTTCATTGTTTGCCCTTACCCTTATTGTTAGGACTATTTAGAAGCTTCCTGTCCTCGGCAAAGTTGTTCAAATGGACAAGACCTGTCCTAAGCTTAAGAGTTCAGGTCAGAATTCACTCACCATGTGACACTAGTGTGATATTCATTTTTCATTGTTCGCCCTAACTTAACACATGGACTAGATAGAAGGTTGCTGACTTGGCTAAAGTTGTTTAGATGAAAAGACCTATCCTACGGTAAAAAGCTCAGCACTAGTGGCCTTGTTTACCCTCAGATGGAGTAGATAGAAGGTTTCCGTCTTCAGTAAAGTTGTTCAGATGGACAAGACCTATTTTGAGGTAAAAAATTCACCACATAATTCACTCACCAGCTGGCGCTTGTGTAACATTAATTTTGAATAGGTTGCCCTAATAAAACATCTTGACTAGATAGAAGGCTCCCGTTTTGGGCAAAATTGTTCAGATAGACTAGACCTATTCTATGGTAAACAGTCTAGCTCAGAATTTAAACATCAGTTCGCACTGTTTTTTTTACGTAGGACTACGTCTGTGATTTCTATATGGGGGTACACTTTGTGAAAACCGAAATTGGAACATGTAACAACATTATGAAAGATTTTGAATGTTAATAACTCAGCTGCCCATGGACCAATTTAAATAATTTTATCACCAAACGATCAGAAATATGTCTACGCATCTGTTAAGACTTTATCATTTATCAAGACTACCGGATTGTCAGCTAAAACGCTGATTGAAGACAGTCCCAAGATTCTTGCATGGAATTACCCCATATTCGGTTCGTTTGAATTGGCTAAAGCGTGACTTTCATTCCAGAACTGGGAGCTGATGAACACCGCAGTCCTTACCGGTCGTCAAGTATCGCAAGCCATGAAGGTCTTCATTGTGTCACAAGCGGGAAAAGTGGCAGACGTCACACTGCAGAGCTCGTGTCAGGCGGAAGATGAGAGTGTTATTAAGGTAACCGTTCTGAAATTGTTTGTTCTGGTGGCTCAGCATTATTTGAATCTTTGACATGATAGGTCTCGTCGTCGTGTAGCTCCGTCTACGTGGACGGCTCGGAAGCCCGGGGCTCGTCAAATGCATCCGTTTTGGTCAAATATGGAACTTACTCCGGACTGGCAAAGTTCACAGTGTGGATGCCGCAGTTTCCCTTGGAAGTCTCCGTAGCCGATTTTCGCCTTTCGCAAATCAAGGGTTGGAAGATTTCGGAAGATCACAATGCGTAAGTAGTTGTTATGATTGTGTTATTTAGCAGAAAGATAATGACCATTTTTTAAATCACAGGAGTGGCAACGGCAAAATGCGTCGTCGAAAGCGAGCGTACGGTTGGAGTCATCACAATGAAGATTTCATCAACGGTGTCTCACCGGAGAGAAGTGTTTGCCGAGCTCGATACCAGCAGAGTCCCGTGGAAGTATACGCAAAGTTCCTAGCGATGGATCAGGATTCTGGGCGCGTAAGTTATCTGATCTCTCGACGCACGGGACTAAGGGTGACGGATTTAGTACAGCCGCTGCTGAGGGTAGCAGATCCAAAGATTGCTACTTTGAGAGGAAGGACTTTGCAAGGAAGAGCTATGGGAAGGACTGATGTTCAGGTAAGAGTGTATTCAACAGCGTTGTTGAAACATTTAATATAAATGTAATTCAATCACAGGTTCTTTCGCCAATCACTGGACGTGTCATCGGAGCTCGTGAAGTGCGAGTCGGAAGCGACAAAGTCAGCCTCACCAGGCTTTTGGTGCGAGTTGTGTCGGGACTTCAACTGTCGATCGGAAGTGATAATGCTATTGAAAATGGATACATTGCCGAAACATCAGTCACCAGGAAGCTAACTGCTCAATACCAAGAGGGGTTGCTGGATATCGATTTGGAGTTTTCCGATGGCTCGAGGACACCACTGAGGTAGGTGTCTTATATTTGTGGTCAGAAAAATTTTATAATTTTATTCTTCGATATTGCAGAGACATCTCAGTGGACGATTACTTCCTTCTGGTAGAAAGTTTGGACACGGAAGTGGTTGCGTTTGCCCCCATGCTGGCTTCTCACCATCCACGCGTAATTGCCGTCGGTGAGGGCAACGGAGATTTGCTGAGAGTTACTCTGCTACTATCCGAGGAGTGTCGATTGGGGCGTAATATTCCAGTGTCCAAGCAGGTAGGTTCCGGTCGCAAGAATATTTGTGCCAGTAATCGTTTCGGAACAATTGGCTGATGAAAACAGAACTAACTATTTCATGCCATCGACAGAACAACCATCTAACAGTACTAAACTACTCATTGTAGCCTCTTAGGACTACTAGAGTCAATTGTTTTGACACATAATCATCTGGTTTAATATAACTTTTCATGAAGATTCGTATGAATTCAAAAAACTATAAATTATTCTAAACGTGTATAGTAACTACATTTTTCAACAAGTGTATACTATTAAGTTAAAAGTTTGAAAGCTTTGAATTCTAGAATATTGAAACAGTTTTTCTTTAAAAACAAAATATAATAGTCATGAGGACAATAAGCATAGTGTACGATAGACATGAAATGATGACAAATGAAAATTCAAAAAATGTCCAGCTTATTCTCGTGAGCTGTTCGTTGCAAAAATTCTTTTTTTTTTTTTTTTCTTTGCAAAACTAAAATGTACGAACAAAGATGCAGGCGAATGTCCCTCTCTTCCTAATTCATAAATAAAATACATTTTAGTAATCATGCAATTTTGACAAGCCCGAGGTTTCAGGATTATCCCAAAGTACTTTGAAGTTTCAATGCCCAAGATTTCTAAAAATTGGTATAGTCTCATGGCGGTAAGCTCCAACTCGGATTAACTACTTGTTTTTTTTTTTTAAATCATACTACCGGTGGAAGCTTACCACCACCAGAGTGTTTAGAAAGTTCTACAAACTTAAATTTGTTTGAGGGCCTGATCGAAAGACGACATGGATCCTAATGGGAGATTGGATCAAAAGCTATTGGGTTGAATTATTGGAAAGAGAAAGATGAGGCGAAACAATTTTTGGTTACATCTTCCTTCGGAAGGAAAGTAAAGTCATTGGTCCCGGCCCATCTGTTTATGGGATCGATAGGTTCCAGGTATGAAAGTTGCCTACATGGCACTCGAATGTCGTCGGTGATAAGTCACGAATTGGCAATCGACACTGGTCGGTGATAGGCACTTGATTGTGGAACAGGCGCACAGGGATGCCAGATTTGAAGACATGTCTTCATTTTGAAGACATTTTTAAATCTGTGCAGACATTTTTCCGTAGATATTGTTAAGACATTTCACTTTTTGTGAAGATATAGAAATTTAAAAAGACATCCGAAGTTTTTCTCTTGTTTAAATTTAAAGCAGACATGTGAAAAAGTAATTCTATAGAAATGAAGATTTTTACTTTAAAGCTCTTTCTTTAAAATATTGAATAATACCTGAAGCCACAGGACTTTATTGAATTCTTCGATTATCTGGATTCATTAGATAGAATGCTTCCTGATCAACCTACAGTCGTGGAAGAATATCTGAGAGACAACATTTAAATTTTTCAATAGTTACAGATCTTCAGAATAATACTTGATCAACCTAAACTCTTGAACACTACACAGAGAACTTTATTATTTTTTTTTCCGTCGATCTGGTTTTCAATGCTCATTATTTCATTATTTTATGCCTCAGAAAATCTCGACGGCGCCGACTAGGATTGAACCCAGGCTCTTGGGAGTGAGAGGCAGTAACGCTTACCACTAAGCCACCGGCGCCGCAGATAACTTTACTGGTCTCTTATAGAAATCCGTGGATATATAGGAAGTTCTCCAAAATTCTACAAAGTTTCCCTAACTGTTTCTATGATCGTTGTCGTACTTCCACAAAATTCACTGAATTTGTTGGAAGTTCCGCTATCTTCTGCGAAGTTCCGTCAACTACTGCGAAGTTTCTTGATTTTTCCATAGCTTATACAAACTTTCCTTAACTTTTAGGACGTTCACTGAATGCTAGACTTTTTTTAATATCATAGCTCATACCAGGGTGGCCAGCAAATCGGGAAAACCGGGAATTCCGGGAAATATACGTATAACCAGTATGAACCATTACAACAGAGTGATCATTTACCAAATAAATGTCTTGCTCTATTAAGTGCATAATTTTCTTCAGTTTGTCGTCTTATTGTTTTTAAAATTTAATCACTCAGCTATATTGCAAATTAATCTTTGTCGTTTCAATTTCAGTTGTGAAGTACATGGGCCTTAAAAGAAAATGTTGAAGATGCTGGGCTTTGGAAACAAATATTTTTAAAAACCGAAATTGAATTATTCTTTTCCGGGGTTATAATTTTTCTTTGTTCAAAATTCTCATGATATGAATTCCAGAATTAACTTGAAATTCTGCCCTGAATTATCATGGAATTCTTCTGAAATAAACCAGAAAACACTCCTCGTAATAATTACTGTTGAATTCTTTTTGGAATTTCCTTGCAACCCTTTCTAAGAATTTAATTGGAATCCTTCTTAGAATTTCCTTGAACCTATTCGGAGACTTCGATTCCTTTGAAAATCTTTTCAAAAATTTCTTTTAATTTTTTTTTTTCAAAATAGCAGAAGTCTTTCGAAATTTTATTAAGAAACCCCTTGGAGAATTTTAAAGAATTACCTTCTAATTATCAGCATTCAGCGTAGGCTAATTCATCTCCGTCCCATACCAATCTTTTCAGAATCACGTAGGAATTTTCCTTAAAGTTTTGTTTTTCACAACTCCTTTTGAAATCCTCTAAAACTACTTAAGAATTTTATTTAGAACGTGCATTTTTCTCCACAAAAATCCCTCCAAATTCATCAAACAGTTTTTAAGAACTTCATGTCAGAATAATTCTGGAATTCTGCTCAGAACTTCTCCTTCGAAAACTGTGTGGGAATCCTTCTCAATATTTGTTTGAAATCAACACTTTGAATTCTTTTAAATTTTACTGAAAATTCCAGGGTTTGTCCGCTAGATTCTATAGATTGTTTCGTAATTTTTTTTTATCACACTTAAAAATGTTTCCAAGTCTCAGAGCGTGACAATTATGACTCCACGTCTCATAAGTATGATTTTTTTTTTCAAATATGTGATCTTGAAAAAAAATTAAATCTCACATTTTATTTATTTTTTCTTCAAATCTTGCATCAGAAAGATTGTTATTAATAACAAATTTTGATGAAAAGTTCTAGTTTCAGACTACACAAATTTCAAAGCCCCAGAATATTGGGAACCTTCTTAAATCACTTTTTTTATCCTTTCAGTAAACTCCTTTCAGCACGTTTTTAAAAATGCGTTCAATTTCGTTTTTTGTAAAATATTAACAACCGGGAAATTTGTAAGATTTGAACCGGGAAAACCGGGAAAAAACCGGGAATTTCAAAATGAAAATTAACTGGCCACCCTGATGTCATACAAAGTTCCCGAAAATCTATGAATTTCCCTTCCCTTATTGAAAATTTTCTCAAATTCTATGTAGTTCTCTGAACTTCCTTCCAGTCCCATATTTTTCCAATCTCTTTTAATTCTACCAAGATCTCAGAACATTTATGAACTTCTCCGAACATCATGGAAGACCTTGAACCTTTTCTACGAATATTCCTGAAATCAAACGAAGTTCAGAAAACTTTCAGGATGTTCATTTACCTTTTTTTAAGTAAGCCATCCAGTGTTGGTAAAATATCAAAAAATCAAATCTCACCAATGCCCAAGATCACGCTTGATTTTCGTAGACAAAAATCAACTAGCATACAGCTGCGGTTGATTTTGCAAGCTGTGATATCGCAGCTCGGAATATCAAGCTAACAAAACTCACCATCTGCAAATCTCAACAAGCTGTGGTGAGATTGAGTTTAATGATTTTTTTGTTTTCCACCCGAACGCAACCGAAACTTCCATACCGGCTGACAGCAGTCACATCGTGTCTGCCATCGCAGAACAGTAAAAAGAGATAGCAAACTATACCTTCTCTTTCTGAGAAAACGATGTACAACGGAATCATTTTTGTGTCGAGTCAACTCTCCGCTTGATTTTTGCAGGTTGTGAATAGTCTCGCAGTATCAAAGGAGCTCGTAAAATCAATATCAAACATGATATTTTGTTCCAATATCACGCGTGACATTGAGAGCGTATGAGAGCGGAAATGATTGATGATTTTTCCAACACTGAAGCCATCTGACAAACTACTACGAAGTTTCCTAAACTGATACGAAGATCCCTGAAGTCGTAAGAAGTTTGATGAACTTATATGGTATATCTTGAACATCTATGAAATTCTTTGAACTTCTACGAAGTTTTCTGAGCTTCTACACAGTTTTCCAAACTTCTGAGATGTTTCGGGAGTTTTATAAAATTCCCGGCATTTCTATGAAGTTTTGCGAAGTTCCTATAATTGCTACGTAATTCTACAAAGTTTTCTGAGTAACAATGAAGATCATTTTCAAAATTTTAAAGAAATTCGCTGCTTTTCTAGAAGTTCCCTGAAGCTTCCTGAACTTCTATGGAATTCCCTTTAATATTTCAAGGCCTGAAATGCCCTTAAATTAAAAAAGGTTTAAGATGTTCCCTGAAATTAAACAAAGATTCCATACCTTCGACGAAGCCCGCCAAAGTTGTACAAAGTTTCCACACCGAAGTTTTCTTGGTATTTTACAAAGTTCCCTGAATTTCTACGAAGTTAGCTGAAACTCTACGAAGTTTCCCCCATTTTGTATGCGGTTTCCTGAATAGCTCCGACGTTTCCTGAAGTTTTATGAAGTACCCTGAAGTAAAAAAATGCTGCCCTAAATTTTTACAAAGTTCACTGAGTTTTTCTAAAGTTCGTTTATTTTTACAAAGTTGAAGCTCTACAAAGTTCTCGGAACTTCTACAAAATTCTCAGCACTACAACGAAGTTTACTGAAGTTCTACTAGCTGAACTTCTACAACATTGGCAGCACCTTTAGTCAGTTTTATGAATTTCATGGCAGTTGCCTACAAATTTTCTTTAAGATCTACGCAGTTTCCTACTAAATTCTTTGAAGTTTTACAACGTTCACTAAACTTTTAAGAAGTCCATGAATTTTTGTAAAGACTCAGTTTTATAAATCTGAAAAAGTGATCATCCTCCAATGTGTGCAAATATTAAAAGTAGTGATGAAGACATTCGAAGA